AGGAAAATGCACGACTGGCCCTGACCCGTGCAGGGGGATGGGGAAGGGGCACCCACATGATGGACAGGACCGAAGGAATTTGTCGACGTACTCACCAGCTTCAGGGTTCGGATGCTCTCGTGGATGGGCCTGGGCAAGCCCACCACCGTGTTGGTGTCACTGGAGAGAAAGGGAAGAGCCAGGCTGAGCGTAGGCAGGAGCAAACCTCAGTCAGGTCAGAGACCACCCTCCCCAAGTAGCCAGCGAGCTCAGGGCTTCTCTCTGCTGCCCAGTGGAAAGCAACAGCAGCCTTCACTGCTACCTGCCCCCTAAACCTGCCACCCCCCAGGCTGGCTCCACCTGAACCCACCTGCCCAGCGTGTAGACGATGAATGCGGCTGGACTCCAGGAACATCTCAATGTCCTTTTCTCTGCAGAAAAGGGAAGAGGGGAAGAGTCGTATCTTCCTGCTCTGCCCTCAGGTACATCACAGTCCTGGGCACGGGCTGACAGGAAAAGCCTCGTGGGCAGATAAAGGTGAGGGTGTGAGCCCACCCGGCCGACAGAACAGCCACCAAAGGGACCACCCTGTCCCTAACCCCTCCCCTGCACTCCCGCTGAAGTTCTCAGTGTTTCCCAGCCTCCCTTTCCTTGGAGCAGCTCCAGCTCTCCCTGCAGCCTGGCCCAAGCTCAGCCCCACGGACTCACCGGACCTTGGGGGCCCAGGGCAGCCCCTTGGGGCAGGTGGTCACTGGGGGGTTGCGTGGTGGGTGGAGGCATCACTTCATCCCGTTCGAGGGGGAAGGTCTCTCCCTCCAGGCTGTTGTCGTCGTCGTTTTCCTCCTCTTCCTCCCGGGAGTCATCGGCTTTGTAAGGGTCCCGCTCATTAAAGGCATCGAGGTTATCCTGCTTTATCAGGGCCTGGAGGGAGAAAGGCCCAGGGGAGATGAACATCCCGGGGGCCTCAAGTTGCTCCGGACCCAACCTCATCCCCCCAACACCACCGTCCCCACCTTGTGCTCCCGCCGGCCTCGCTTCTGCTGCTGCTCGATGAGGTCGGAGGCGGAGGCGGGCGGCGAGGCCGCTCGCATGTTGCGGATCACTTTGATGCTGTCCTCGGGGAGCGGCGGGAGGCCCAGGATCTCCCTTTTCTCTGCCTTCATGCTCTGCAGCTCCTCGAAGCCCCCGAGGGTGCACTGCAAGGGAAAGCAAGGCACCCTGAGCGTGAGGGACTCCTCGACCACGGGGCTTCTCCATCCATCCTCCCCCCCAAATCCTTCCCCGGGGTGTAAAACAAGAGCTACTCTCGTCATTGTGAAAGGCAGAAGGGACAAGAGGGTGTTCAGGCATTCACAGCTGAGGTGTCTGGATCTCTCCCTTCACGCCAGGCACCTCGTTTCGGGTGGTTCCTTGGTATCCAGCTCTAGACATCAAGATCTGAGCTCGCCTGCGGGGTGAAACTCCTTACCAGCACCGTCTTCCAGAGCAAGAGCAGCACCTTCTTCATGGGGAAGTGCGGAGCGTGGCCGCTGCAGAATTTGGTCACCATCCCAAAGAGCATGACGGAGAAAGGCTCGTTGTTGTACAGAGGGGCTCCTGGAACCACAGGGCAGCGATGGTTGGGCACTCCTCGCCCCTGTCCCCCACCAGCCCCTCGCAGGGTCTCTGCACCCTCCAACCTCTCATCTCCCAGATCCTCGTTTCACCCCAGACAGCTCCCCTCTTCCTTTCCAAGGCCTTGTAACCTCCACAATCTCTTACCTCTGCGTTGAGAGGAAATGACAGCCTCAATACTCAGGTTTTTTCCCCCAAGGAGAGCACAGGCAGACAGCAGAAGCCTCTGGCTGACTCCCTCTACTCAGCTCCCTTTTGCTCCACCAGCAAGGTTCAGCCTCATGGAAACCCATCCAGCCCTGCCAGTCCCTGTTAGCCGAGGCCTCCAGCCAAACCCCATCTCGCTCTTTGGCTCTTCAGGCCCAGAAAACTCCGTCCCAAGCCCGTGGTGCTCACCCAGCTCCGCTCGGAAAGTCTGTCTCATGCTCTTCCACTCGGGCTTGTCCCCCTCGGCCTCTTGCCGAACGGTCTCCACGATCAGGTACATGATGTTGAGCAGCACCCTGTGAAAAGCAGAAGGTCGGGTGAATCACCAGAGGGTGGGACGAGTTGCCGAAGCCCCGGAGCATCGCCTCGTGCCGAGCCCAGCTCCGTACCTCAGGTCTGTGCTGTCAGCCAGGGAGATGGCCGGCTTCCTCACGGCGCTGCTGCAAGCTGCGCTGTTGCTGCGGAAGGAAAACAGGCTCAGGGGGGGCTTTTTGGAGTCATTTTAACTCCGCCACAAGAAACCCACGCGCCAGAGCCAAACCCTGGAATAGATATTGTCGCAAGCGCCCCGTTCACGCTGCAGTCGAGGGAGGAGGAACTGTTTGTTGTGAGGCAGCACGGCTCGTGGGGAATTTCTGTATAAATCCTACATTACATACACACCCAGAGCAAGGGGAGTCATTCCAGTGGCTGTGGGAGTCAGATTAAGGATAGAAAGACCAGGAAAGGGATTGCCACAAACTAGAAAACCTCCTGCCAAGGTGCCCCAGAGCCATTTCCCCTCCAGTACTCACTCGATCTCCATGTTCAGCAGCTCCACCAAAGCGTTGAAGGTCCCCACTTCCAGCAAGAGGAAGATGTTGTACCTCATCCAAGCCTGCACCTCGGCCTCGGAGCCGCACTCCCCAAACGTGCCTGCAACGACACCTTCGCTGGGTCCCATCCCCGCGAGGATCCTGAGACCCTCCCACGCCACCAGAGGGGAATGAAAAAAATCACAGCCTTTGTTTTAAAATAAAAAATTGGGATGTAGAGGATGGAACTACCCCAGCTCTGGGGTAACACAGAGAAACTGATCAAATTTTGGAACCAGATTCCTCTAAACCGCCTGGTTCCCACCAGAATTAGCTTCGTTGCGGACATCCCAGGGCAAATCAAGGATTCAAGGAAAGACAATTTTAAATATTTTCAACCAATAGCCTCCGATTCGTTCCCCGAAACGAGGAAAACTAAGGGGGCAGAGGTCTGGCATCACCTTGGGCGACATAAAGGATGGCTCTGGCAACCCTCAGCCTCTTCTCCCGCGCGGTGACCTCCAGCCCGTCGAGGAGCCGCATGGCGTGGGTGCGGTGCTGGTTCTTGTCCAGCTCTGTCCATTTCTTGTCGCGCACTGAAAAGCCCAAACAGGCAGGTTGAGGGCACAGGGCACCCGTGGCCAGCCCAGACATCGCTGGAAAAAACTCAAAATGATTCAGCGTGACGGAAAAAACCAACCCACGCACAAGGTCCCCAGTACAAACAGCGCTGAAGATTCTCAGCGCAGGGCTCTCGAGCTTTCTGACGCAGCGTTAAGGCATCAACCTCTGTGTTTCCTTCAGATCCCAGTCCCTTCCCAGCAAGGTGAGGTGTCCAAGAGAAGGGTCTTACCGTGGATCCTGAAGTCCTCCTCGAAGCATTTGCGGTTGAGCAGGAATTCCGGCCCTTCCGTGTAGCTGTAGAGCTCTGCCGAAAGAGCACAGAGGGAAATCTCCAACGACCTGCACCGAGTCGTCGGAGAAAGCCGCAGCCTGGCCACGTTAATCGCAGTTGTATTCAAGAGAAATGCAAAAAAAAACACACCCAGCATAAAACTAAATACATTAATTGCATGGGATCGGTCCCCTTTTAACACGAGTAAGGTGGTTAAAGAGAATATCAGAGCATTACTGGAGTGGACAGAGCTCCCTTAATCCCTGCCAGGGAAGAAAATCACGGCTGATTAATTGCTCCATCAAGACGAGCCCCTTACCAGAGAGCTCTGCCGCCCATTTGTCGGTATCTGCATATTCAAACTCCAGGTCTGGGGACTCCGAATAACCCTGAAAGGAGAGGAAGAACGCAGTGAAATCCCAGCATTTCTCAGGAAAAACCAAAACGCTCCCTTCCTCCCCCCCCTCCAAAAAAAACATTCCCAATTCACCTCAGCCTCCCGCGGCTCCAGGATTGTACCTTCTGTTCCAGAGACCAAGAACGCACCCGCAGCGGCGTAAACGTTACCAAGGCAACTGCGACCCACCTCCTGCATCTCCATTCCCAGCTTCGCCGCATTGAACGCTGCCAGGCAACCCCCCCCTCACTGCACCACCTCTAAAACACGCCGGGAGCCCCAAAAGGCCAAAAAAATTAAAGCAGAACGGGGCGTGTTTAATCCCAGGGCGGGGAGCGGGTTACGTGGAGCTCTTGGGGCTCACCCGTTTTGTACGGAAAAATGGGAGTTAACTCCGAGACCATCGAGTGGAGTGAGACTGAAACAACTCCAAGTGAGGCTGGAAAAACATCCAGGAGAAGCCTCAGAGCATGAAACATCTGGTTTCTTTAAGTAAATCACCAACGTGGCCTCACAGCAAAAGTTTACCCAGTCTGAGAGCACCCACGGCCGAGCAAGGAGCGGGTCTGAGTCCCCAAGGGTGGTGGAGCCGTTCCCTGGCCCCCA